TCTCTTGGCATCTCACTGTCGCACTACAGGACATTTTTGGGTACACACATAATTACAGTGATGCCAGTAATACCCTTGTTTCAAGCAGAGACGCCTTCTATCAGGCAGATTATGAACGTCTGCGTGGGTTTGCGGTGTGTTTGAAGCACACAGCTCCACAGGTGATTTCTAGCTCAACACTAGATAGATCATACATACTGTGCGAACATTTTGGGTGCTTTGTCTGTTTACACCAGATAGGTAGATCAGGTAGTCTCCACAGACCCTGATCATTACGTATTTAGTAGCCTAGAGTTACATAAAGAGAGTGAAAGCAAAAGAAACAGCCTCAGTCTGCAGAATTCTTATTTACTTATTTACAATTACTTTATGCTTGCTTCATACTTATATAAATACTTATTTTTGTGACATTGCGATACAGGTTGTGAATCGGAAAACACCAAACATATTCTTCTTCTTTTTCCTCAGCTTTGTCCAGAGACAACATAAGTTTCCACCTGAGAGTGCTGATCATCACATGTTCCCATTATGTGTGCGTGTGTGTATATGTGTGTGTAATTTTGGCGCCGTTAAGACAAGTGTGTTTGTGCATGTGACACTATCGAAGCAGTGTAATTGCGTGAGATCGCTTTAGTAAGTGTTTTTTTTACCAAAAGGATTGTTTGGCTTGGCACCGATACAGATACGTATGTGTAGACTAATCACTCAGCCAGGCGATCAGTGGGCATATCCTGGCATTGTCCCGTTGAGTGTGTTTGATGGTGTCAGTCTGCAGGCTCCAAGTTGTGGACAGAAAGGCATTCTTTCCCTCTTGTCTGAACCTGGCAAGGGGAGTGGACTTAAGAGAAAGCCTATGAAAGTTGGGTTGGGTTCAGTCTTTGCTATAAAACTGAGCTTCCAGTGGGGCTGAAATTCTTCTTAGTTTAGCCAATGCTTGACCATCACATTACTTTATAATGTCCGGACTCTGCGAGGTCTTAACGTCGTGATTTGGGATAGTGTCTGCTGTTTCTGGAGTCTGGAACCATGAAGGTATGAGTACTTGGAGTTTATAGAAGTAAAAAAAAGGGGTTTTGAAGCAGGCCTAACATCGCACACAAAATAACACGATCTTTGTACATCAGACAATAAAGATATTCGTTTAAGCTGTGATGAAAATGAAAGCATATATGTTTATGTGTTCCAGGACTACATAAAGAGATATTTGCGAGGAATTTGGGTTTTCCTGCAGCTGACCTGTGAGTATTATATTGGAGAATATCCAGTTTCGTTTCTATCTTTACACCCAAAAAGTGACATATGTTACGTGCTTCATATGAAATCTCTTATAATTCTTCTTCAGCACACATCGGCATATCTGTGTACTCTGTTTGTGTGTGTTCAGCTTGTCTAGCGAGCATGACAGGGAGATGCAGTCTGTTTGGACGGCACCACGTTCACACATTCGATGGTGTTTTGTATGACTTTCCTGGAGACTGCAGCTACCTTCTGGCTGGGGACTGCAACCACCACTCCTTCACACTGCTGGGTGAGTCATGCTCAAATTCAATAAAGAGATTCAAAAAAAGATTTGAATTTTAATAGTGTGCCAGGCTTATCTTGTGTAGTTTAGTGTGTAATGCCTCGTTGATGCAATATGTTGGCTTTTGGAAACTGTTTACAAGTCATCTTCACTTTTAATTTTCTGTCTTATTTGGCGAAGTCTGCCATGGTGGTGGTACAAAGTAGTAACAGTGTGTTCAAAATGTGCTTTGGATCTGCAGGCGACTTTCAAAATGGCAAAAAAACTGGAGTCACGCTATTTTTGGGGGATGTCTTTGAGTTGCACCTTTCTGTAGACGGACGGCTCTCACAAGGAGAAAAAAGGTAGCACACTAGCGCTGTCATTCAGCATTAAGTTTGTGTGTATAAATATTGAAAGCTCCTCGCTAGTTTGCTTCTGCAGAAGCTTGATTTATGCCGTCTTTTCTTTCTAGGCTGTCACTGCCCTATGCATCTCACTCTGTGTTTGTGGGCTCAGAGCTCGGCTTTTACAAGCTCTGGAGTGAGGAGTTTGGCTTCACTGTCACCATTGATAATGCTGCCAACATCGCCTTGACCCTGACCAAACGCCATGCAAACCACACCTGCGGCCTCTGTGGCAACTTCAACTCTATGACTGCCGATGAATATACTGCTCAGGAAGGTATGTGCGTGCTATACAACCCACAAGATGCAACTGTGAGAAGAGTGAAACTAGGGAGAGTTTATTATTACTGGAATAGAGGAAACGATTTGAGTCACCAGCACTCAGCAACAGGAAGAGGAACAACCGAGTACAGGAAAAGATAACAAAGTAAAAGAAAGCAAAAGACACAGTTGTGGTAGGATGAGATTAAGAACAAATCTGTCAACTTGTTTGTCTCTCTGTCTGTGCGTGCCTGTGTATTTTTCAGGATTCCTAACAGAGGACACTTATGACTTTGCAAATTCGTGGGCAGTGAAGGGAGCTGATCAGTCCTGTCAGCGTGTGTCAAATCCATCAAAATCCTGTAACACAACAAAAGAAACTTCCACGGTGAGAGGGTAGTTAAAACACATGCACATGTTTAGATAGTAAGCATGTCATGATATCTGATGTGTAGACACAAGTCATTAAATAAAAGCTTTGTACATTTCTCCTCACAATAAAAAAGGTATTTTACAGTGGTTCACTTCCTAACAAAGCACCTGATATTTCTTTGTGTGTATTATGCTCTAATTTGCCTTTGTTTTTGTTTCTTTTACTATTAATATGCAATAGATTATATTTTTTGCACACACATAAACTCATAGAGATTTGTAAATAAACATTTTTCTTTACAAACATATAATCTATATTTTAAAATCAGGTGGGTTTTGGAGTTAAAGTGCCAACTATAACCCACATTGTCTTTGGTTGATGTCCAAGATACATATTATTAGTCCCAAAGATTTTAGAAAGACTTGGCATTTTTAATACATCTGTTCTTTTTTATAAAGGCATTTTGGCTTTCATACACAGTATTAAGGTTCAATATGCTCAAATGGGGACGACAGCCGAGTCTCTTTAAAAAAAAACGAACAGCTGGTAAGCGGACAGATCTGACAGGTGTGATTGCAACTCTGTAGCCTGTGCAGTCTTTGTGGGTGAGCAGATACGAAATAAAAACAGTTGGATTTTGAAAGAACATTTTGCACATCTGAAACACCCACATGTGAGAAAACTGTACAAATTTCATGTTAGTGTGAAACCATAGGACCCTATCAGCATCTCCTTCAGTTCACTACAAAACTGATGAATATGTATTCTTTCACTTTTATTCAAAATCTCAGTTTCTATCATTATGATATTGCCATTTTCACAATTTTCACCCACCAGATGTTAATCCACTCTTCCTCTTTTTTTGGCATTTAACATTTTTTCTGATGAAGTTTCAGACATGGTTTCTATTCCCCATTTATTCAGCTGCACAGGTTGTTAGACCTAAAAAGAGGCAAACAACTTATTTTCTGCCTGTTTGTGCTTATGTGTAGATTTTGTCCAGCTGCAGCGTGTTGCAGACCTCTAGTGTGTTTCTCCACTGCGCCCACTTGGTCTCTCCCGAACCATTCCTGCTGCTGTGTCAGGAGGAGGCCTGTCACTGTGATCAGACAGGGCCCGAAGATTGTTACTGTCCAATCCTGCTGGAGTATGCTCGCACATGCCACGCTCATGGGATACTTCTTCACGGCTGGTCGCAGGAAAGCCAGTGCTGTGAGTTTATTAGTTCTATAAAATTAACAGCAGGTTATAACATGACATGCATTATTTATATATGCTTTTCTTTTGTGTAAAGTCCCCAAATGTCCAATTGGCATGCAGTACAGTGAATGCACCAAGTCTTGCTCTACAACCTGCCATAGCCTCAACATCCAGGAGGTCTGCAAGGAAGAGTGTGTTGATGGCTGCACGTGTCCTGGTAACCCCTCGCTCACGATATCTCTCTCCTGTCTCCGTCTTACTGTTTCTAGTAGTAACATGGCATGCATGTGTGTTTCAGCTGGCAAGGTTTTGGATGGTAATCGCTGTGTTGAGGTATCCCAGTGTTCCTGTGCGCACATGGGAAAACATTTCCCACCAGGAGCCACGGTCTCTCAGGACTGCAACACCTGGTGAGAAAGCAGTGCAGGCGCAAATACACAGAAATAGTTACATAGAAAATATGCTTCCTTCAAACAAATGTCTCTTTTGTGCAGTGTGTGTCGTCACGGTTCATGGGAATGCACCAATGAAGGCTGTCCTGGTGAGAGAGATGAACAATAATACACACTCACTAATACTTTCGTTTGGGAAATATAGTCCTCATTTCTGATGTCATATCCTTGTTGTTGGTGTGTAGGTGAATGCTTGGTTGTTGGCCAGTCTCACTTCAAGAGCTTTGACAACAAGTTCTTCACTTTTGCTGGCCACTGCCAGTATCTGCTGGCAAAGGACTGCTCACAAAATGAGTTTTCTATCATAATTGAAAATGTACAGGTAAAAGTGAGCTTTGGTTTTCAATGCAAAATATAATATAAATTTGGAATTTGGAATTTGTTCTTACACTAACTACACAATTACACAAAGAATGACCCTGTTAGCGTTCTGTCACTCCCGTGTTGCCGGCTTTTCATCATTTACAGCATTTAGGTTGCTTTTTATCTTTCAGTGCGCTGATGATCAGGATGCTGTGTGCACACGCTCAGTGACTCTCAGTCTGCCCTCTCTGGAGGACATGACAGTCAAGCTGAAGCATGGAGGAATTGTTTCTGTCAACAGCATGAACATCCAGACCCCAATGCATAACGGTATGCTACTTTAAAGTGCATTTAAATGACCTTTTATGCATATAAGTTAAGTAAATATACCTGTAAGATGGTTATCCATATATGAGAGAAGCACTCTGACAGATTTCAGAATGGCAACACATTAGCTCTAACAGCACAGCTCTGCTAAGTACTTGCGTGAGTTGTTCATTAATATTAACTGATTTTAACCAGCCAGTTAACTATGTGTGTCATTTTACAGGCCGTTTACATATCCAGAGATCTGTTCAGTCTTCAGTACGTGTAAAGTTTGGTGAGGACTTTCGTCTGGACTGGGATGGGCGGGGCCGTGTGCTTTTAAAGGTTGAAGAAGTTGTATATCTTAAAGATGTTTCCTTTCAATAACCCCTGTATGAAAAGATGGGAAAAAAACAATCTTGAATTCTGTCTGCCTCCACAGCTGGGTCCACAATGGGCGGGCCGGACCTGTGGACTGTGTGGTAACTACAATGGTAACCAAGGTGATGATTTTTTGACTGGTTCTGGGCTGGTTGAGGCTAGTCCTCACTCTTTTGGCCATGCTTGGAGGATCAATGGAGACTGTGAATCCACTCAGAAATTTGAAAGTGATCCATGTGCCGTTAATCCGAAAAGAGGTATATAAACCCACACAGACAGACATCACTCCAGTAATGACTTAACACTAATCTTACGATACCTCGATACCAGTGCGCTTTGCAGAAGAGGCGTGTGCAGTTATGATGTCAGACGTGTTCAGTCCGTGCCACTTTCTGGTGAATCCGGGTCCGTTCCAGCAGTTCTGTCGTTATGATGTGTGTGCGTGTGGGGACGGTGAGGAGTGCCTCTGCTCGGCTTTGTCCGCCTATGCAGCTGCCTGCTCAG